CACACTTGACTCTACCACACTTGACTCTACGACACTTGACTCTACGACACTTGACTTTACCACACTTGACTCTACGACACTCTCTTTAGACTCTCTATAGACTCTCTATAGCCGACACTCATGGCCCCAAAACTCATGGCTAATGATGCTTTCGGGCCACTCGTCTTCTAGTTAGAACAAAAATCTACAGTTGTATCCAACAAGGACCCAGGAACCAGCACGAGAAAGGAGAGGAAGCCGGGATGCTGGCGGAAAAGCGTCCAGGCACCCTCATCAGCATCGTAGACCACGTAGATGCAGAAGCGAAACGCGAAGTAGGTTGAGAACACCTCTGACGAGGACATAACCAGGTTCCAGAGCGTCGCATGCTTGACCACGCCAGCAACGAAACCTCCCCAGTAACAGCATCGGGTCCAGAATAGTCGAAGCCCACCATAGAGTTTACATAAGAGTGAGAAGGCAACATAGAAGCTGACAATACCAAAGCACACTTGCACTGTCTTGGCGGGCTTGCGGCGGGTGTTGACGGCAATGGCCAATAACAGCAGGATGACAAGGTATAACATGTCTACCAACCAATCCGCGGCCCGTGCCAGTGCAGTCCTTGTTAGTGCCTCATCGAGGAGCGCCTTGGAGACAACGGTTGTGAAGCACTGGCTCTCCCGCCCGGCATCAACGAGCACCTTGAGCATCAGGCTCAGATCGTTGTCACTGGGCTTTAAGAGCTGCACTGCCGGGGTGATACTGTAGCTGACTCGACAAAGGCCCTCGCTTGAATCGAAGACGACAGGCCAGCTGCCGGACTCGTCAATACCTCCGAGCTGTTTCGTCAACTGCTTCAACTGCATCGGAGTCATCTGCCTGCTGCCTTGCTTAAAGGCGATGCGGAAGCTGCCAAGACTGTGGCCTAGCCAATCCCAAGGCTTGGACTTATCCCATTCACTCACGGGCGGGCCAAACCCCTTTCTTGCGTTCTCCGGAAGGCTCCGCATACGACGATTGGCTCCGCATATGCTGAGGTCCATGCTCAAACTCTCCATGAACATATTTAGACTTTTCTGGTCCTCCTCCACAGCCAAAGTCGCAACGATCTGCATAAACCAAGCAGGTGTCAACTTGCTCAGCTCCGTCACCCACTCATCATACCACTTGCATAGTTCTGCGGCTTCCTCGCTGTCGCGAATCTCCGCGCGGCGAATCTCCACCGCAATCGCCTGAGCTCTTTGCACCTTCTTGGGTAAGGCTTTGTCGTCCTTGAGCTCCTCTTCTTCGACAAGGATGCCCTCGCTGACAAGGATGGACTTCAGCGGCTCAAGGCGTTCGAGCTCCTGTCTCGCTTCATCCTCCCGCTGCTTGAGCTTGTGGCGACGCTGTGCCCAAGCCACGTCCCGTTCACTTGCGGGGGTCTTTGGCTCGTCGCGGACTGCTTTCTGAGCTTCCTTCTGGTTCTCGCGAGCTTCGTAGATCCGTGCTCGTCTTTGTAGCATCCAAAGACGCTCTGCCTTGTCGTGGGCTTCCTGTCGCCAGTCCTTATTCTCCTTTGTTGCGTACATCAGCTTCAACCACTGGATTTCATCGACGTCTGGGAAGTCGTCGTCGGAGTCCATGTCGGAGGTAAGCTGCGAGCACCATGAACACTCGATGTCTCGGCTGCTCACCTTCCTATGCGCCATGGCCAAGAAAGCTTCTCGGGAGGTTGGGCCGAGGATCTCGAAAGTCTTGGACTGAAATCTGATTCGAGCCCAACAAGTTATCCGGGAGCCTCGCTTCACTCTTTGGCCCAACACCGCCTGCATGACCCTAAACCCTAAACCCTAAACCCCTAGACCCCGAAACCCCTAAACCCTGAACCCTGTTTGCTTCGGCGATATCGGCCCTTTGAAGCCCAAGATCAGGAATTGCGCGGAGAACTGCTCAGAACATTGCTCAGGACAACTGGGTTTGGGTTTGGAGGATCAGTGAGTGGGATAATGCATTACAGCATGACTCATATTTTTTAATCTGTGAGAGAACAAAATGCTACTACCACTGTTTCAGAGTTTTAGTTGTTTTGATTGCCATAACTACAGAATGATAGTCAGTCCTTAGTGCTCTTGTCTGCACTTGATGCTGTTGTCTTATCTTACAGGGTAATATGTTGTATTGAACTCTACTCTGTTCTGTTTGTTTATTTGATGAACGATAGTTTTTGTTGTTATTACTGCTATCATTCTGAGCACTATATTGATTAGTGATAGTAGTATTGGTACTATGATTATCGAAAATAATAGCAATAATCAAAATCGTAGCCCTAGCAACGTTTGTGGTCCTTACTATGTCTGCTGCGATTTTTGTTGCTATTATTCTATTTTATACCTATACATGATATTCGAATTCTTAACGCTGTTGGTTTTGTTGATACTGTTTATACTAAATACATTGATGTTGATATTAACCACAATATCAACATGTTGACGATTAATTGTGGGATTACTGTGGTTATTAGTAGCAGTAGCTACATTACTGCTATTGTGGTGTGCTTCGCCTTGTGCTAATATTAGCCCTATCTATATCTATATCTATATCTATATCTATATCTATATCTATATCTATATCTATATCTATATCTATATATATATATATATTTATATTTATTTATTTATTTATTTATTTATGTCTATCTATCCACCTACCTGTCTGTCCATTTATCTGTCTATACATCTATATATATATATATATCTACACATCGGATGTGTGTGCTCTGTGTATGTATGCATACTTACATACATACATACATATGTGTATATATATATATATGAATATTTATGTGTGTAAAACAACGCATGTTATATAACATATGTATTGTGATATGCTCTATACAATAATCTTCTACTGTCCCGTTCTGTACTACATTATACTATACTATGTCGCACTCTGTTACATCGTGACATACCATACGGTATCAAAACCATAGCCGTATCTTACCACATCATACCGTAAAAAGTCATGCCACACCAGACCATGTCATATAATTCCACAACAAATCCTATCGTGTCTCATTATTTTCTTTCACAGCATGTTTCATTAAAGTCTGTTACGGTATACTCTCCTCTACCGTACTGAGCTATGTCATATTATGCGGTATTGTATTCTATTTGCCCTAACCCCGAAGCCCCAAGCCCCCGAAACCCCTGCTTGCAAGCATGTCCCGATAATTTGTGATTTTTGTGTGCCTCGCATCGACTCAAGCCCCGCCGCCAAACCCCGAAACCCTAAAAACCCCAAGGCCCTGTTCTACTCTGCTGGACTGCATTCTACCGCATGGTATTATGATAGAACCCTTTTGGAACCCAGGCTCTGATTATCAGCTGGCAAAGCCTAAACCCTAAACCCGAAACCCCGAAACCCGAAACCTGAAACCCGAAACAGTAAAACCCGAAACCCCAAAACCCTAAACCCTCAACCCTAAACCCCAAAACCCTAAAACCCTAAACCCCAAAACCCCAAAACCCCAAAAAGACGAGGCCCTGGCCAGCTTTGTAGCCACCCGAACCAGCTCGCGGACAGCGCTCTCCACATCGCCGTCCACGGAGAGGATCGTGGAATCCCACTGGAAGGAGCCATACTCCTCTGGTTTAGGGTTTAGGGTTTAGGGTTTAGGAAAAAGGGTCAAAGAAAAAGGGTTTAGGGTTTAGGAAAAAGGGTTTAGGGTTTAGGGTTTTGTCCTATCAAGGCATCGGGTTCGGGGTTTAGGTCCTTTTTCGGTTGAAGCTTAAGGGTCCAAAGACAGAAGCCAGAACACTCTGGAAACACATCTGCACACGAAAACTTCAAAACCGAGCTTTGCAAACAGTTTAGGGTTTGGGGTGAATATCCTATCAGCTCCTGGCAGGGTCTAGAGTTTGAGGGTTTTAGGACATTCCAGTTTCCTTCTTATTTGAGGCTTCCTTCTAATCTGAGGTGCGGTCCCGAATGAAAGGGGTATTGGGCTCTCTGCGCGAGTCGAAGGCCGCGGGATGGGATTCGGGCCGCGGACCGCACTTGGAGGATCATGGGACTTAGTAAGTAAGGTTATAAGTCCCTTAATTGGGGTTATAAGTGATCCCCTAAGCAGGCCGAAGGCGGGGGCCGCAGGCGGGATCGCCAAAGGAGGCGGCGGGCTTAAGGTTTAGGGTTTAGGGTTTAGGGTTTAGGGTTTAGGGTTTAGTCTATGGTTGAACCCATGGGCCCCTAACATGGGCCCTTAGGGCCCTTAAGGGTATATATAGGGTATATAGTAGGTATATTTGGGTCCCAGGGTTAAGGGCCCATACTAGGGGCCCATGGGTTCTACCTTAGATTAAGACCCCGGATGACCAAATGACGGGGTGTGTGATGAACTAGGATCGTAAGCAGAATCGCCCTATGGCCTATGACGGGGTGGTACTACGAGGTGTATCGACATGAGATGAACTGGGATCGCCACATGAGGGGTCAGAGGGTAGAGGCTTCAGAACTGTGATCAACCGGGATCGCCAAATAAAGGGGGGCGCGTTTTCAGAAATATAATCAACCACCGGGATCGCATGATGAGGGACAAGTTGAAGAAAAGTGATCAATCGGGATCGCTAAATGACAGGGGGAAGGGCCGTGTCTAATTAAGAAGTGCGATCAACCGGGATCGCCGCAAGCGGGTTCAGAAATGTGATCAAAAAGGAGGCAGGGCTTCAAGACATGTGATCAACCGGGATCGCAAAATGAGGGGGCGGGATCGCTAAATGAAAGGGAGGGTTTAAGAAATTTGATCAGCCGCGATACCCACATGAGGGGGCGCGTAGAGGAAATGTGATCAACCGGAATGAAGGAGGGCACGTGTTTCGGATATGTGATCAACCGGGGGGTGCGTTTCAGAACTGTGTGGTCAGCCGGGATCGCCACATGAGGTGGGCGCGCTTAAGAAATGTGATCAACTTAGCAAACGTGATGAACCGAAATCGCCAAACGAGGACTCAAGAGAAATGTGATGAACCGGGATCGCCAGATGAAATGAGGGGCTTGATTTATAAGATATGTCATCAGTAGTAATCAATCGGAATCACTACATGCGGCAGCCGCTGGGGCTGGGAAGCGCTGGGGGGACCGTGCAAGAATCGGGGGAGGGTGATCCAGTGCGCACTCCTATTTGCGTCCAGTGCGCACTCCTAAATCAGCATCCAGTGCGCACTCTTGTTGTATCCAGCGCGCACTCCTCGAATCGGCATCCACTGCCAAAACCTGCACACATGCAC